AGTTTGCTAACTCGCATCATGCAACTCGAGTGTTGATCATATAGAACCTCTTTTATCTGTGCTTGTTTTTTATCATATTTGCATAGCTTTGATGTGTTGATTTGCAATATCGAGTAAGCTATCAGCTAATCATTCAACTCCCTGTGCTTTTGTATTATATATATATATATATATATATATATTTATATATATATATATTATATAATATATATATATATATATATATTATATATATATATATATATATATATATATATATATATATATAATGTCGTGCCCAATAGGTAACGCTTGCGATTTTGGCTTGAATAGCAACGCTCTTCTTGCCGAATCAGACAATCGAAAATTTGTATATGCAGTAATTTCGCAAAAATCATTCTGAGCCTAACGAAAAAAATATTTCATTGTGTTTGTTATTAAATTATTGTAAACTTTATCTAAAATATATTTAGTTGGATTAGGCTAAATTAAATTGGTCTTGTTATAATATGGTTAGGTAAGTTTTCTAAGGTTCTTTTGGTACAAAATTATTAATTTTACATTAACATAAATGAATATATATATATATATATATATATATATATATATATATATATATATATATATATATATTATATATATATATATATATTTAAACGTATAAGAGAAAATTTTAGAAAGGACTTAATTGTAAATGAGTTCTTGCTAATTGATCAGTTTTACATATTCGGCACCACACACACACACACACACACACACACACACACACACACACACACACAGTACACTCACCCCTCCCCTCATCTTCCCCTCCTACTCACCCCTCCCCCTCCCCTCATACAACTTATGTTGTGAAGAGCCATTAGTGATCCGTTTGAATTGTTCAGTAATAAAGAATGGTCGAGTCGCACCCCATGTGGTGCTCTCGCGGCAGTGGGATCCCCTCATGTGGCAGTGGGGGGCGGGGATCCCCTCATGTGTCAGTGGGGGCGGGGATCCCCTTCAGTGGCAATGGGGGCAGGGGTTACCTCATGCGGTAGTGGGGGGCGACTATCCCATCTTGTGGCAGTGGGGGTCGAGGATCCCATCTTATAATAGTGTTGGGGCAGAGTGGTGGGGGTCTCCTCCTGCGGCAGTGGAGGGGGCGGGGCTCCCCTCTTGCCACTGTTTTCCCCTCTTGTCTTAGTTATTGGTGTGAGTGACAAGTGACACCTCGTGGACGCCATCAGATTGTGACTTTAATTCTTACATTCTTTAATAAGTCACAATACCATGGCTGCAACATTGCACAACCCTGAGAGTGTGTGGGTGGAAGGTAATATGGTAGTCCTGTTGACCAGCTTCCCACAAGATACATGGTATAAGGTAGTTCAACCACCGCCCTACAACCATTCCACGTGTTTGTTTATAGATTTACTCCATGTTTGTGTCTTGCTTCTTGCTGTTCGTTCCTTCTCGTGTTCTGCTTTGCTCTGTAAAAATGACTCACACAGGAAAATGATGCTTATGCACTAGGGCTTTACAAGCGACATCGGGGAATAATGTGTTGGGTGGCAACCTCTGTCAGTTATCTGTTGGAACAAGGAGTTTTCTCATAGCTAATTTGTGGGAGAGGGGCCACATTTCCGCCTTGTAAATTAATTTATTTTTTCTTGCCTGTAAAATATATATAGAGGCCTATTGGTGATGGGGCCTCATAGAGTGTAGAAGGTAGATTACATGTGTAGTGGAGATAATAATGAATATATTGTGTATCGGGACGGTGCGGGGCGGAGGTTTGGCATCACCGCGTGACGTAGCCCTGAGTGAGTGGCCTCTGTGGATTTTTCTATTTGTTACATCCGTTTTCATAAATCGAATAAAATGCTTTTAGGCCAGTTTGGATTAAATTTTTTCTTATGCATCTATTATCTTGAATTTTCTGATTATAATGGCAAGTTTAAATTAGTAAAAATCGATGGCGGTAGTGGAGGAACGCTCGTACACGAAAATTCCCAATGCAAAAAAAATCGGCAATTGGGAAAAGGCTCCTGACCAAGTCCGTGCCAGCGAACTAAAATTAGTTTTACTCCCAAAACTTCATACGCCGCAACACTTTGCGTACTTCTTGGGCATACCTCGAGTGCGTTAACGTGCGGTAAAAATATTTTAATGGAGTTAGAGAGGAGGGAGAGATGGTGTGAGTGGCGGCGTGTGGCAAGGCGGGTGAGAGGTAAACCTAGTTGAAAGTTCCTCAGGTACTCCAGTACTAAGCTGTTAAACACTCGCTCTTTCCACAAATGATTGCCACTTTGGCCGCCTTTTCACGGGGAAAACTAAGCGTGAGCGCGGCCAGTATGAGCTAGCCCGGTGTATATAGTGACCCTGTGTCTACCCAGTGCCTTGAACCTAGAAAATAAGTGTGAGTGACGGAGATATATTGGATTTTCTTCTCCGTAATGTGCGAGGAGACAAAGCCGAGTCGGTCCTGGCTAGGGGAGAGGCGATCGTGTTCAGCTGGCCGCTGTGTACTTCTACCATGGTACGACCCTAGGCCTACTTAGGCCTCTAACTAGTAGTGAGGAAGTAGTTGTGACGTGTGTGCATGTATATGTTGTAATGTGTGGCCACCTGGGCTCCTCCAGCCCACTCTCAAGTCTTTACAAAACCTCAAAACACCGCTTACTGTTATTTTCCATTGCATTTCTTATTTTTGTTGTAATACTCAACTGTGTATGTATTTATTATATATACACACATATTTAGACACGTTTATGTTCTCAAGTGTAAAAAAAGTGGTCACTAATAAGTTCAGCTTGTGTATATACAAAATTTAACGTAATTTGTAAACTAGGTGTGTGTGTATATATATATATATATATATATATATATATATATATATATATATATATATATATATATATATATATAATATATATATATATATATAATGTGTGTGCGAGTCCCTTGAAGGCTGAGTATATATGGTGATGATGGTGAGCATTTCCTGCTGGGCAGTGGCCGTGTTGGGGGCAAGACAATGCTCACCCACACACAAGATGCTTGTCATAGTGAAACGTGTCTTGTCTCACGAGACACCTGTTTAAATAGCAGCAGGATAACACAGGATCAAGAAATATCACAGGTGGAGTAGTACCGGATAATTAAACGCAGGATAACAGCTAAACCATAGGATAAGTGGATTAATGTAGGATAACAGTGGAATAGCACAGGATAACAAGAGGATAAGCACTTAATGATATAGGATAACCTCGGAATAACACAGAACTATGGAATGACATGACAGCCTTGGAATAACATAACGATATAGCACAAGATAACCTCTGAATAATATAACACAAGACAACTGTGGACTAACGCAAGATAACCGTGGAATGACAACAGAATAGTCCAGTAAGAGATGAATAACATAGGATAACATGATGTTCACTCATATCCTAGCCTACAACAGCTCCTAACACTGATAACAGCAACAGCCGTCATTGTAAGTACAGATAACACGAGTGCTTCCACTCGCTGATTGAGCTGGACTGGGAGATAACATGATAAAATTGCCTTTTATGGGAGGAATGATACTTACCTTCCATTACTACCCTATGGCCACCATATTTAACGTCACCATTACTACTGTCACCTTTTCCACACTACAATCCCTAGTCTATCACAACTACTGTCACCTACTATACCATCACTAGTCACATCTACACTTATCACTAGTCACCACTACTCTCACTTCTTCCACACCATCACTAGTCACCACTACTCTCACTTCCACACCACCCACTACTCACCACTACTCTCACTTCCACACCATCACTATCACCACTACTCTCACTTCCACCCATCACTACTCACCACTACTCTCACTTCCACACCATCACTAGTCACCACTACTCTCACTTCCACACCATCACTAGTCACCACTACTCTCACTTCCACACCATCACTACTCACCACTACTCTCACTTCCACACCATCACTACTCACCACTACTCTCACTTCCACACCATCACTAGTCATCACTACTCTCACTTCTTCCACACCATCACTACTCTCACTTCTTCCACACCATCACTAGTCACCACTACTCTCACTTCTTCCACACCACTAGTCACCACTACTCTCACTTCTTCCACACCATCACTAGTCACCACTACTCTCACTTCTTCCACACCATCACTAGTCACCACTACTCTCACTTCTTCCACACCATCACTAGTCACCACTACTCTCACTTCTTCCACACCATCACTAGTCACCACTACTCTCACTTCCACACCATCACTACTCACCACTACTCTCACTTCTTCCACACCATCACTACTCACCACTACTCTCACTTCCACACCACTAGTCACCACTACTCTCACTTCCACACCATCACTAGTCACCACTACTCTCACTTTCTCCACACCATCACTAGTCACCACTACTCTCACTTCTTCCACACCATCACTAGTCACCACTACTCTCACTTCTTCCACACCATCACTAGTCACCACTACTCTCACTTCTTCCACACCATCACTAGTCACCACTACTCTCACTTCTTCCACACCATCACTAGTCGCCACTACCGTCGCCTCTACCACACCATCACTAGTCACCACCACCACCACCACCACTACTACTATCATCTCTACCACACCATTAGTCACCTCTGTTGCATCACCACTAGATCACCATAACCAGCACCGATGTCATTATCACTTCACTAATGCATCTACTACCATCACTGTTATTCACCATATAAATACTATTAATGTCACTGCTGGCATCACCATCGCTACCATTCAGTCATCACCACCGGTCATCACCCACTAGACCTGTCGTCATTAATAATCACCCACTATCCCATCTGTTATCATTCATCATTACCTACCTCATCTTCATCACCACCTGTTCTCACCTGTCACCGCCCATTGTTCTCATCTACTGTCATCACCATCTACTGTTCACATGTCATCACCACCCACTATTCTCATTTGTCATCACCACCCACTATTCTCATTTGTCATCACCACCCACTATTCTCCTGTCACCGTCACTTATTCTCATTAGTCATCACTCATTACCTAACCTCATCTTCACCCACTATTCTCATCACCACCCTCACTATTCTCACCATTACTCACTGTTCTCACCATCATCCTCACTGTTCTCCCCACCACCACTCACTGTTCTCACCACCACCACTCACTGTTCTCACCACCACCACTCAGTGTTCTCACCACCACCACTCACTGTTCTCATCATCACCCTCACTGTTCACACCACCACCCTCACTGTTCTCACCATCACCCTCACTGTTCACACCACCCTTACTGTTCTCACCATCACCCTCACTGTTCACACCACCACCCTCACTGTTCTCACCACCACCCTCACTGTTCTCACCACCACCCTCACTGCTCTCACCATCACCCTCACTGTTCTCACCACCACCCTCACTGTTACCACCACCCTCACTTCTCATCGTCACCCTCACTGTTCTCACCAGTCATCCTCACTGTTCTCACCACCACCCTCACTGTTCTCACCACCACACTCACTGTCTCCACCACCCCCCTCACTGTTCTCACCACCACCCTCACTGTTACCAACCACCCTCACTTCTCACCAGTCATCCTCACTGTTCTCACCAGTCATCCTCACTGTTCTCACCACCACCCTCACTGTTCTCACCACCACCCTCACTGTTCTCACCACCACCTTCACTGTTCTCACCACCCACCCTCACTGTTCTCATCACCCTCACTATTCTCACCATCACCCTCACTATTCTCACCACTACCCTCACTGTTCTCACCATCACCCTCACTGTTCCTCACCATCACCCTCACTGTTCTCACCACCACCCTCACTGTTCTCACCATCACCCTCACTGTTTCTCACCATCACCCTCACTGTTCTCACCACCACCCTCACTATTCTCACCATCACCCTCACTGTTCTCACCACCACCCTCACTGTTCTCACCACCACCCTCACTGTTCTCACCACCACCCTCACTGTTCTCACCATCACCCTCACTCTCACCATCACCCTCACTATTCTCACCACCACCCTCACTATTCTCACCATCACCCTCACTATTCTCACCACCACACCTCACTATTCTCACCATCACCCTCACTATTCTCACCACCACCCTCACTATTCTCACCACCACCCTCACTGTTCTCACCATCACCCTCACTGTTCTCACCACCACCCTCACTGTTCTCACCACCACCCTCACTGTTCTCACCATCACCCTCACTGTTCTCACCACCACCCTCACTGTTCTCACCACCACCCTCACTATTCTCACCACCCTCTCCTATTCTCACCACCACCCTCACTATTCTCACCACCACCCTCACTGTTCTCACCACCACCCTCACTGTTCTCACCACCATCCTCACTGTTCTCACCATCACCCTCACTGTTCTCACCATCACCCTCACTGTTCTCACCACCACCCTCACTTCTCACCACCACCCTCGCTGTTCTCATCACCACCCTCACTATTCTCACCATCACCCTCACTGTTCTCACCACCACCCTCACTGTGTCACACCACCCTCACTGTTCTCACCACCCTCACTATTCTCATCACCCTCACTATTCCCACGCACCACCCTCACTGTTCTCACCACCACCCTCACTGTTCTCACCACCACCCTCACTTCTCACCATCACTCACTGTTCTCACCACCACCCTCACTTCTCACCATCACTCACTGTTCTCACCACCACCCTCACTGTTCTCACCACCACCCTCACTGTTCTCACCACCACCCTCACTGTTCTCACCACCACCCTCACTGTTCTCACCAGTCATCCTCACCACCAGTATTCTCACCACTACTCATATCCTGTCGTTACAAAAAGTCGTATATACACTTTAAAACAACATAAGCATTACTGTTAACTTTAATTGCTTCTACATGGTGTTCGATAATTTGCTCGACTCCACTTTATAATTCACTTAAAATTATCTTTATTTTTGGAACATTTTCGTGTATTGTAAATAAGTGTGTTTAATATAATGACGCCAATTTGTGTAGACAGCCGAGTGTTTCCTGTCAGTGAAATTATCACTGTCAGCAAGATAAAGGAAGAAGCAAGATGGGGGAGGGGAGGAATAAGCTGCAAAGTGCCGTCGTCGCGAAGGTCGAAAATCCTCTAGGAGTTAAAGAGGACAGGAGCTTTGTGGCGTGGTAGTGTTGTGTCGGTAATCTTGTGTGATCTCGGGAGAGAAAGAGAGAGCAGGAAAGTTTGTTTTTCGCAGTTGATTCAACCTTAAATGCTGCATTTTTAAGTACTCCACTTATTGATTGGTCTGTATTATGTACATCGGATTTTTTTTTTTTTTGTATAAGTTGGTTGCACTTAATTATACATACAAGTTAGAAGTGTATACAGTAGGTGGCAACTGTGACTCACTCATGGTTGGAGCCATGTTCTCTGATGGAGAAATTTAGAGGTTGCAGCTGCTGTATATATTTTGAGGGGAAAATAGAGTTTCATGTGACA